ACTATTAAATCAAACCAGAATTTGATATTTTTTTAAAGTTCGATTTTAATTGAGAGAGTTACTATCCAAACTTTTGTGAGATAGTAACAGTCTAAACTAAAAATAAATTAAAATATTGAAACTATTCTGATTTTTAAACAAGAATGTGAAATCAGTAGTTCATAAGATTAAGAAATTGTGTAGTTTAGTTAAACCAACATTTGTATATCTTTGATATGTAGATCTTCTAAATTATCCTACAAAAAAAGGAGAATGAAATTGTTATAAAAATCAAATTATAGCTTGTAAATATAATATTATTTTCAGTTTCATTGTCTATTATTATTGACTCATGATCTGAACTATTAAAACTACCATAATATCCACAAACCCTCCTTCTGATACTAATCAGCATACGCTCACTAGTGACTGGCTTCAAGAGGTATTTCCTGGAGCTCTAGTGAGAAGCAGTGACCAGTGGAGTTTAAGATAGTAACTCACTGATGACAATGGTGGATGTGTCCCTCAATTTTGTGGATTAGTTGAAGTTAGACATTAACACTATTGGATGCCAGCTTAATGGTCTAGAGGATAGGCGTTTGCGCGTGAGACCAAGAGGTTCTGGGTTCGAATCTCGTGAGGAGGGATCATGGGTGAGCACTGCTGAGGAGTCCCATGCTAGAACGAAACGGCAGCTCAGTTCTTCCAGGATTTCCATGGAGGTCTAGCTCCACCTGACTCATGATCTCAACTATTAAAATTACTATAATTATTGTTTTAACCGCATTTATTAAAACTATAATCAATGTCACATTTATAAATGTATACTTTATCTTATTATTAGAATTTTATAGACTTTGTAATTTTCAACACTTTCAGATATCAGTAAACAACAACATCTATGAACTTAATTACTTTTTATTTATGAAAAGTTTGCTCAAAGAAAAACAAACAAACAAATAAACCATTATTCATTGAATTAATCTTTAAACTTGAATATTTATCCATATTGTTTTATGAAACAAATTGGATTTCACTTATGAAATTCTATTAGGCTTCTTATAATATGATAATAAATAGAACATTATCTTATGATTATTTTTATTTAGACTAGAAACTAAAATTGATTTCTGTTAGGACAGAATAAAGCACAAGATCCCATTTTAAATCGGTATAATATTCATTCAGTTTATATATATTCATATTAATTCATTGTAAAATTCCTGTTTATATTTCCATTATTTTCAGTTATGTATGATATACATTGACTAATCACTAAATATTAGTGAAATTTATGTGTAAATAAGGTGTATTTAATTAAAGTAATTATCGAAGTTTAAATAAAATGTGAATCAGTTATCAGCTTTTGTTTCCCCTCTTTCATCTTGTAAATCTCAGTTCCCTATTCCATGTCCAATTATCATTGTTTTATTTACAATACGTTTCGAGCGAGCATACAAATTATAATCTGTCTCTTGTTAATAGTGGTAGCTAAGTATAATATATTTTGAATTAAGGTAGACTGAAATATTTATATTGTCTATATGTTATTAAAAGTTTTGATAGACAATAATTTAACTATAGAGTTAAGATTTCCAATCTTATTATTCTTGTTAATATTGTATAACACTATTGACGAATTGAATACATTGACATCTCTTTTCATCTGAAGTATTTGGTGAGAAATTACGATTTCCCTATTGAATTATGTGATAAGATGAATTCATAGTAGAATTAACCATTTATTGCCAAGTTTGTTAAATTGTTGACATATTAGAATGTAATTGTATATGACTCAGTGAATTCCATCTTATGCTGACGTATTAATCAAAATTTGTCTTTTCTTTGTTCTACATACACATTGTGATTGTAGTATTTTGATTTTATTGATCTATGTATACATTTCCAAAATTGTACGAAAGTGATTTTTATCGTAAACTAGTGAACTATTGAGAAGAAAAACCCACCCGAAAACTTTTATATCAACATGAAACACCTCAGAACTAAGCGCTCCTCCTTGAGACTTTTCCACATCACCGTGAATCTAATGCTTTCAAATCACAGAACTCAACGTTTTTGTTTTTTTAATTCAGTCAGTTCTTGAAGTATCGCTCTTTATAAGTATTCAATGTAAACTGGCCGGTTACTTTTGCACTATTGATTTATCTGATTTCATATGTCTATGTACCTCAGTAGAACTGTAAAACATCTAACTCAACAACATTTGATTTTCAATGATTTTCTAAGTCATATCAATTTAAAATAAAAATGGATTTTACCCTACTTATTTGAATTATGTATTTGTATTTTATTTAGACTTATACTTTAGAATCTATGGTGAATCCATTGATTATCCAGTAACTTATTTATCTTGTTTGAATCTCTTATTTGTTCATTTTAAATATATAATGTTTGACTACCTTCGTGCATCATTGCAGTAGTTATTTATACTATAATAATAATAAATTGAATTTTGTTTTATTTAACTTTCTATAACATCATTCCGGACAACTAAATACTTTTTTTTCAAAAAATGTCAAATCCCTACTCTTTTCTTTAAAACAATGAAACAAAATTTTCTAAGAAGAAAAAAGAAAGTTGGTTTTATCAAAGAAAAATTTCTAAAAATGAATAATGAAAGTTGAATATTTGAATTGAATTGTTATGCTTACTATTGTTGTTATTAATAAGATTAATATTAGTAAGAAATCAATATGTTGAATTATTTTTTTTTTTTGTTAACAAAGAATCATTACATAATCGGTTGTTTCAGTTAATATGTTAACTTACTTAAGTGTTATTCTTGAAAATTTAAAGATGATTGTCTATAATATATGATGTAACCTGTATCTTTTGAACTCTTCACATAAAAGAAAAACATTATCAAATGTATATACTTTGTGAATTTCGTTTCATTTCAATGATCATCAATTAAGTTCATCATCTTCATCATATAGAAAGTATGTGTAATATAATGGTGTTAAAAGATATTAAACATAGAAATGCTTTACTTGATCTTTGATGTTGCTTTAAGGATAAATAACGAAAAATAAATAACAAAGAGTTCAGAATTGTTTGCTTGTAATAATCTAGAACTTGTAAAATACTATATTACACTATGTTATGAATAATATTAAAATTATCACATTACTGATGACTAATAAGCTGTTTATCGAAGAATATAATTTTAAAATCTTTCTTCATTTTCTCTGGCTTTATTATATTGTTAGTGATTTTTTAAACAGTTCTTGCTAAAAGTAGTCGATAGATGAATATAATTATCAGTGGAAATCATGAATTGAATTACAGAACTTGATTTGGAATCCCTTTAATCTCTGAAGATTTCCGGTATCCTTAAAACTTTTACCACCAAAGATTTTTTAAAAGTTTAATGAAGCTATATAAACATGATTATTAATGAGTACTCGTACTGCCGCAAAAATGTCAATATATGTTTTTCATGTATTATCTCGTAATTAACGCTACTGTAACTACACAAAGTTTTACTCATAACATCTGTAGTTTAGTGAATTCTAATTATATTTTGTCATTAAATTGATAATGTTAACAAAGAAAGTTTAAAAATAATCTTCAGAATGTCAAAATAATTGAAAATCATTAATAAGTTGTTCTCTGTTAGCTTCAGTTTTTCTAAGACAAACCTTGTATTGTCAAACTATACATCCCGATTCATGCTCCCTTGTAAAATTTACTTAAAAAAAGATAAGTAGGCTCAATCGATCAGTCGAAAATTCATGTAATCCATTTTTTTATTATTCTTAAAACGTAAGTGTTAGGCATCTGTATAATATATCACCTAACAAAAATTAACTTTCGGATTTGTGAAGATCATCAAAATGTAAACGATAAACTGAACAGGTTCAAACAAGAAGCAACCACTATGCTTTTTTTTCTGGTAGCTACATTGACTACTGTTACATTGAAAATTTTTTACAGTGACCATACTTATATGCCAAGAGTATACTAGATAAAATTTTTTATTCAAATGCACTTGTTTCTCACCTCAGTTGTTAATTTTCCTATCATTAAAAATTGGATGCAAACATAGAACAAACTATTAAGGCAGAACAAAAAAATATTCACTCAATGAATTATTTTCTATATTATCATCAATAACTCATTGATGATGAAAAAAAAAACAAAAGGAAAGAAAAGTTGGTAAATGTTTCCTTTTCCGTTTTGTATTCATTCTCTACTCGTGGTGTATTTTGTAATTTACTTTAAAAATAAACAAACAAGCAAACAACTAGCATTATTGATTAATATAGTACTATACTATTGAAGAGTTAGTACACTCTACTTATATATATATATATATATATATATATATATATATATATATATGCACGCGCAAATAAAATAAATTTGGCTTGCTAAAATTTATGCAAAAAGAGAATATTTGGGGCATACTATCTCTTTTTTGATTGTTCACATTTGTCACGAACATTATTTATTTATTTCTATAAATAACACTTAAATAAGGTTAGAACTAATCAAATATATATAGTTCAAAAACAAACAAACGTCAACTGTTCAACATTGCAGTCCTTTATTTTTTTTCATTTATTCGAGCAGAATGCTGTTTTCTTTATTTTGAAACATACAGCAAAATATATCAGGAAAAGTGTTTCCGCTTATTTCAAATTAAAATTCATTGGGATGCAGTATTTATGTATAAACCATTTACCATCAACTAAACAAAACTACTGTATTATTATTATTGAGAGATAATGCTATTCAGTTAATTATATATGTGCTTCATTTGTTTGCTCGTTCGCTTGCGCGCGCGTGATTCACTTGTCAACATTAATGAGTTATTTAAATAGTTTTGTCATAGATATTTTAATTTGACTTGTTTATTCAATGTGTGTTATTTGCTTGTCTGTTTAACGTAAATACCCAAAGTCAGATTCGATCAATAAGCTATTTGTCAATTGTAGTTGAATGAAATTTCCACATACATATATGATTTGATCTATTATTCTTTATCTTTTTATTAGATGACGATCCCCCAAAATTAATTACGGATTTGGTAAATCACGAGTTTTCAAAATTTGTTATGCGTGGCCGTTCAGTTGAATTGGAATGTCCTCAACCAGGTGTACAAAAGTCAGCAGATTCAATAGCTCCGATTACAGTATGGGGATTAATGCCACGTTTAGGAGAGCAACAACAACCTGTGTAAGATGCTGATATGGATTTTAGCTTTTCTTATTTTTCTACCATAATGTCTAAGTAATAAAATAAGTTTGACAGTTAGATAACAAACGACAATTGTAAGTATACTGGTTCAAGTAGATTTATTTGCGATGGAAAGATTCAGGTTCATTGTTTAAAGCTGAATAGTGAATTTATGATTTTAGTGTTTAAATGTTAGATGGTTGAAAGTAGCGAACAGGAAATTCCGGATCTAGGTTTCATGCTACTTGGCAGTCATTACAAAGTGTACCTGTAATCTTCATAGATGAAATTCGATCGGTACTAAAATTACTAGACAAACATAACATCGATCGCTGCTCAGTGATCAGTCAGTTGTAGCGTTATTTTTATAAAGCCTAAAAACATCACCCATCCATCATTCCCATTCAAGTTTAGTTGAACTTTTGTATATGCTTATGGCATATAATAATGAGTAAAATTAAAATGATTTTATACGATTTCACATTTCTGGGTAAGATTTAACAAACAATTTTCTTATATAACATGGATACTGACGTTATTTATTTTAACAAACACCAAAGTAAACATTGTTCTTCTATTTTCCACCTTAAAATTTGGTGATTTATTCACGCACCGGATAGTTTTTTTATCTAAAGAATGTAAGGATATGGAGGAAATGTCTTTATAGATTCTGTGTTTCCCTTTAAATAATATATAAGATTATTATTACTGATTACGAGATTATATTTACCAACCAGTTCTAATTGAATTTCTTTTACTGTTACAATATTCGGTAATTCTAATCATTAGTGAGTGGCTAATAGAATATTTTTCTTTGTACTTTCGAGTTCTATTCGGTTGTGACGAGTTTTGAACTGATGTATATAAATTAAAAATACCGTTGCAAACTATTCTCTATATTGCCAAACTCAACGTTTAATGGAACGTTTAAGCATTTTCATTGCCCCGATTGTAAGAGATTTCTGACAAACTTACTTTAGTCAACCATAGATTTATATACTCACCCGTGAATTACACTTAATACTATAGAAGTCCAATGATTATCTTCAACTTTTTAGATTAGTTTACATAGAACTACACATTATTTGTAATTAGAAAGTTACGAAAAGCTCAGTCTAGGTTTACCTACTTGAAATAATGCGAGCTAATGTAAATGTATCTGTCTGTTTTATCCCTTACATATTTTAACTTCTACTACTGTTTATTATATATACTTTTGATCCGAAATCGTAATCACTTTATCTTGTTTGTTTTAGGGCATTTTGGAGGCTTCTGAATGTTGTAGTTCTACATCATTCAGTGACTTTAGTAAAACAGCTATTGAAAATTAATAACGACAGTATAGTCGCCTTATCCTAGTAAGGAATTTTTCAGTATTAGAATTAGGCGGCTAATCAGTAGTTTCTGATTTTTACTCGTGATCCAACTAAAGTCAGGTCATATGTAAAGCTAAAAAAATTCCTATGTTTAGTTACCATTTTTATTAAAATCTTTATTTTCATTCCTTTACCTTTCATCTTAAGAGTTTTCTCTCATCGTGCTAAAGTGTATAGTGTGCTAGTTTGAACTAATGCACATCTATTCTAGATCCTGTATTGTTTCTAATAGATTATAAGCGATAGATCTAGTTATTACAGTATAAATAACACTAAAATAAACCTAATAAGCAAGCATAATTATTTTTGAAATTTACATATATATAAAATTGTGCATCTGGAATTTGACAAAAATCCTCTTTAAAGTTTGTAGGAAAAAAACAAGCAATACTTATGCATTTCAACAAAATGGATTAATATCTGAATGGAGATTTGTGAAGATTGTAGTAATTTTAATAGTTGAATTCATGAATCGACCTAAGTTAGGCCACCACTGAATACCTGTAAGCAGCGAATGGTCGTTTTGTCCCAGTATGGTACTCCTGAGCAGTGCGCATCTACGATCCTGCATGCGGGACTCAAACCCAGGACCTTCGGTCTTGTTCGCAAACGCTTTATGCATTTCGACCACATGAATTAAAATATATAACATATTTAAATTTTAAAATTAAGTTCATTTTACGCATTAAAAAAATGAAACTTTATTTTTTTAAAGAAAAATTTAATTCTTCACTTTGAATTTCAGATCAACTTTAAGAGATATTCAATTTGCAGATCAAGATACAAAATTAGTTATCAGTAATTTCGATATACATCATGTGAGCTTTTACACATGTGAGATCAGTTGGCCTAATTCACCAGATCGATATATTTTTCTTTTTCAAGTTGAACTAGCTGGTGAGTTTTAGAAGAAAAAAAAGAAATTATTATTATGTTTGATAATATTGTTAATTTTATTCATTTAATTCCAAACATAATGGTTTTTTGATGTTTATTGCTTGTTTAATAAACAAGGAAACGGAAACTTGGAAAAATCTCCCATGTACTTCACCAAATATTGATAGAGATAAAACGTTTTCTTTTGAAATGAATTAAATATTTCAGCGAAAGCAGTGTATAGTACAAAGATTGTCTAGGTCAAGCACCGTCATGTTAATATAAAAAGAAAACATGTAGGTTTTTTTGTGCTCTTTGACTCCCGAATCACTGTTCAACTGGTCTGAATTTTGGAAAATAGTCTGTAAAGGTTGTTATGGTAGAACATTTGATGTTAGGAAAAGCAACAGATCATGAAACAACAAAGAGCCTGACTTGTATGGACTTTTGAGGCTGTTCTCAACAATAGAAACTGATAGGACTGACGTATTGATAGGAATAAATAGGTATATTACAGTAAATCAGATTAACGTATAATAAATTCAAAATTAATATTTTTATGACCATATTTCGTCTATAATATGCACTGGACAGAAGTAAAAGACATACAAAGAAAGTTATTTCAATGTCTTGGGAATTCTCCAAAACGTTAATGTGATCTATTCAACCCAAATCAATATTCTTTACCCATCTAATCTTTATTTGATATGTGGATGCTAATCAAAATCGATAATTTGTATAAATAGAGTTAAAAACAAACATACGAGCATGACCTGAAAATTTTACTAATATATACATATATTCCTATTAAATAAACAAATTATTTACATTGAATTTTCGGGTTACTAAAATATTGAAAAGTAGTTTTGAATACTAACAAATATCAAATAAAAAATTATTGGAAACTGAAATCAATTTGATGGATGATTTGTTTTCATTTCAAACTGTTCATTAGTATACACTAATTATAATAATATTATACATTGGATTTAATTGCAAGATCTATTAAAGAGGAACGTGGAACCAATTTAAAACTAAGTTTACCGTTGCATACTAGTTACAGTTTATAAGAATCTTGACCTATTGTGAGTTCGTTGAAGTTAAACTTGTAGATTGTAAGATGTCTAGTGAGTATTGATCTTATGTTTGAAAGTAGATTAAAACAACACTTGCTAGTTTTAAATTTCTTTCTAGATTATATTATGATAATAGTCCAGTTGTAGTTTGAGGAATAAATTATCAGAATTTTAGCAACGTAGTTGTGAGTTCAAAATACACCTCACCTACCACGTTGTTCAGTTATAAGCAATTCAGAGCCTAGTTTATATTTGGGGCAGTTTAATTCTCCACACCATGTTTCAGTATAGAGGAAATATATTACCAGGTTGATTGCCAAAAAAATAATAATAAAGAATTGGTATATAGATAAACCAAAAGAAATTCTGACATGGACAATCAGATAGTTTTAGTGGTCAAACGCACGAACCTTTACTTAGTTGAATAGAGTAAAAAAGCTGTTTTTATTAAATTTATCATACAAAGTTACCATAAACATTACATAAAATTTTAACATGACCACCTAAGTAGACATTGTTTAGTTATTTGTTGAATCAAAATCATGTGGCTTGTGTTGAATATTGCATATTTATTACATATCACTCAGTGGAATTCAGTGTATTTTACTTTAATTACTCACATGATACTGTCTTTAATAATAATATTGTTTAATTTGGTGCAGTTTTTATTGGAATTAATTATTAGTCAACCTTAAACTGAAAGAAAATACATTGGAGTCAAATTATATGAGGGACTTACGTTTTCACTAGACCTTATTATATAACACGCATACATATCATTATGCATTAATAAGCTTATGTAACTCTTTATTAAAGGCTGAATGTTCTAGGCATTAGTCATAAGATGATTTCAAAAGTTTAACATATTCACTGTTGAGAATTCGATAGTAATAAAGTCGTTTTTTAGGTCTTCATATATATCCACGATCTAAACTGAGTTGTATGGGCGATAGTCTGGTATAAGAATGAGCTTAAAACAACCTTGAAAAATTTCCGGCTAGTTTCTAGTCAGTCAAAAAACAGCTTTTATAAATGGATGATTTATTGGGAAAAAATGAGTGCAGGGTGTAAACGGATTTTACATTATTAGCAAACTTAACTATGTCTTATACAATTTACGGTGTCTGTAAATCGAGAAGTAACCGACGTGTGAACTCGTCCTAATCAATATAACTTGTCCATCTTCTTAAACCCTTAAAAGGATCGAAACAGATTTTCAGGAATTCCCGTACTGTTCCTAGTTAAAGCTAGGTATTTAGAGATATGATTAAGGGTTTAGAATTAAAATTTTCATTACGAACTGACATCACTTATAAGGCTAAAATTCTTTATAGCCATATTGATGAGTGAATTTCGCTTAGAAAATATGCGATTAATTCGTCCATAAAACGTGGTGCTATCAGGTTAAGCTTTGTTTCACGATTAAGTGTTTGGGTTCGGAATTTAGTGAAAATGTCTATTTGCCTGTTGTATACAATCTAAAAGGACAAAATTAGGCATTCGATACGTTTGACAATACCGATTTTACTTACGGTTGTAAAATTAATTTGCCGCTGACATCTTAAACGTCCTGAATGTATGGAGGTACTTTTATTGCTCATCATATATGATATTTTAACCTAGAAGTCGTGTTTTGTACTCTGAGTAGCTCATCTCTACGCTACAATTTCACCGTTGAGTAAGATGGAAAACAAATTAAGATTATGTTACTGAATTCATTGTTTTTCCTACATAAGGCGGTTATTCAAAAACTCCGCTTAGTATTAGGTTCAGTCAGTCCTTAACTACCTTCAGATTATTTTTTCAGAGATTATAAGTTCTTAATGACATTGAGAAATGTCATTATGCTTATTGCTTATCTTGGTGATTATTCATAATCTTATTGAAATCGCATCAACGAAAAAACCTATCAAACTAATATGACTAAACGAATATTAAAACGGTATTTGTTGAGTCGGCTACATGTTTCGTTAGCTATCTAAGTTTACATACATTGATGGCCCAATACATTTAGTAGTAAATGTTATTTAGTTAGGAAACATACACGGTTTTAATTACTAAAACAACTAAAATTGGATACATTAAGTCATTGTAAACAAATATGTCTTTAAAGTAATCGATTGACTATCATGTACTCATTATTCAACTGTAGTGTTATCTAATTAATAAAATCATTGTTTTGGGTTTATTTTACTATACTGACGTTATGGCTGAGCTGTTCGGACATATACTATTCATAATTCAACCTAATGCTACTTTTTTTTTCATTCAGATTTTGTGGCGATTGCATTGATTGTGACCATGAGATTATGGGACTAGTTAAAATGAAATAAGTTCGTCATAGCAGTAGTCTAACGGTTCAGGTATTCGTTTTTAAATCAATAGGTTGGATGACAGAACTTTGGTTAGGTTAATTAAATTTAAGGATCTGGATAGTATTACACATACATAGTTCGGCTAAAACCCTGACACATAGATCTGTACACAGTAAATGACTTATGATAAATTCAGTTACATATTCATTTATTACAGTCGACAGTAGATTCACTCCAAAATTGAACATTAATTTCCATTAAAATTTAATATTCATTGCTAAAAAGACCGTTCATGCAATGGTTTCCAAATGTTGAAAAACATATTAAATTATTTAAATAAATTATATTTACATATGAAGACATTATTGAAAACTATTAATCCCTGTCAAGTAAAGCTCTCTCAGTTAACACAACCATCACAGAATAATTTGTTCATACAAGAATGGGATATATATATATATATATATATATATATATATATATATATATATATATATTTGTCAACTGTTACTAGTATTGAAAATCTCACAATGTCATTACATTCAGCACATAATACCTGGACTTAATGTTTAGTTTCGCGGATCAAACAGATATCGGCAAATAACTGAAATAATATTTCACCAATGATGACAGTACAAAAGTAACAAGAAAAAACTCAATTCAATATTTATAAGTTTAAAAATAAAAGCAAAAATCGGTCAAAGCAGTTGGAAAATAAACTGGTTGAAATCATTTAACTAAACCACGAAATCCCAACTTAGTGGTTGAAAGGTTAAGCAATCGCTATTATACTTGAATATCCTATGTTCAATCCTTGCTAGGTATTTTTATGGATGCACATTGCTGAGAAGTTTTATATTAGAACGAAACATATGTAATACTTTGTGGCTTTACGTGATATAATTAAGGTTAATCCGTGATAATAATTACAGAATACGAAAATGATATTAGATGATTCTATTTGGTACTCTGTAATTACTGTGTTAGATTTATAAATGAAATGACTTGCAAATATCTGGTGAAGTAACATTGCCTATAACCACAGGTATGCACTTATACTGTCGTGTATGCGTATATCCATATATACTCTATAAAAATGATTATTTCAATCATCTTTTTTATAAATGATCGTCAAATTTCTTGATTTTATCATTTCAATGCAAATATACAAACAATAAAATTTTGTCAAAGTTCACACCAAAATAACTAAGCTCTTTGAATTTCTTTGTGCTTTTTACCATATCAAAATTCAAGTTATTTTTAATGATAGGGGTGGCTAGACCAAAACATGGCACAAATCCATGAAGTCACTGACAGGTGGACTGAGCCATGTTGGTAGGTGTAGACTACTTGGTTGGGATCAGCGAGATGATCGAAACCTATGGTTAGAGACCTTGGATTATATGGCTCATAATCGTTTGTAATGATGCATATGAATCCATTCTTTGTGTTTTCCGAAATTCTAATTTTCTGAATTTTCCATATCCCTCTTTTCCTCTTTCCAAATTTATTTCACTCGATTATACTCATTGAATAACATCTTCGAACCCTAATCTTTTCGACAACTGCTTATACCTTTACTACCTCTACCACTGTGGGATTTGAATCAACAATTCCATCTCTGTGCTGA